GCTGTGCTTACATCTCAGTTCTCAGTGCTGGGTTGTGTATATAGTCCCCCATGTCTGTGCAGACGACTGCCCCTTTATGTCTGTGCAGACGACTGTTCCTTTAAGTGTAAATCTTCACTTGTGTGTGTTTCTATTGCTGTGTCCCATTCCATTTACATCTCTGAATTTAATGGGATCAAGTGTCTGGCTCATATTTCCAACCATACTTATAAGTCCCTAAGCAACTCTGGTGGATAAGTGGATGTGTAAGGGAGTAGCCTCAATCTCTGTGCCACCAGTGTCTCTTTACCTCCTCCAAAGTTCACCTTGCTTGGCTCCTATCCCATTCTTGGCACATTCTTCCCCACCCCTGCTCCAGAGCTTGTCTCTCTTTATGTCCAGACTCAGAGACAAAGATGACAAAGTGGGCAGGGATTAAAGTCTGGCAACTCAATATGCATGAACGCCATCATATATGGTACATCATATATGGTTCTTTCCTACAGGATGACAACCACTTAGAGCACTGTGAAAACAACTCTTGCTGAAACTTAGGAGGAAATTCCATTGTAGTAAAACTACTACTCATCTGAGAACATACACCCATATATCCAGCCCACTACAATGAAACATTACAGGCAAATACCTCAACATTTCCACAAACTTGACCTCTAAATAAGTTAAAGTGACTCACAAACTTACTCAAATAGGAAATTAAAATAATCTCCAGCAACAGTCATCTGGTCAGTCAAAATACATACATTATACACACACAAATACACAAGCCAACCCAAAAGCTTAGTCTCATTCTACAGCTAGACCCCACAATAGCCATACACTTACCTGTGATATCCCCCAAGCATCATAGACACCCGTTCCAGCCCTTTCCATTGCTTCCACCAAATAATTACACACCAAAAAGAATTCAGATGGCAGTTGAGTCAGGCCCTGGTGTTTTAAAGGTGTCTTTTCTTGTCTCAGTTAAGAGATAAGGATACCCAGGGCCCAAGGTGAGAAAGAACTGAGATCTTAGTACTGCCCATTCTCCTCGCTGCCTCATCCCCTGGGGTGTGTTTGGAGGGAATGGAAGCAGAAGAGAGTAGGCTAGGAAGGGATGTGCATTCTTAAAAAAAGAAAGAAAAAAAGGAGAGCTGTCTGCTGTCCGTGGTGCTGGAAGCATGCATGTCCCTGTCCACGGTGCTGACATGCCCCACGCTTTCCTCCTGGTCCTTCTAAAGGTAAACAATGTTCTGAGTACCTCTTGTCCACCCTATGCTAAAGGAGTGAGGGCTAAAAATGGGGAGAAAGTGAAGAGGCAAAAGATAAAGAAGGGCTCAGCACAGCAGTGGGAGGAGGTGCCGAAACTTCCTCCAGCTACTCACATTCGTCAGGAATCTCTATGAGCAGGCAGGGGCTGCAGAAGAGGAGAGGCCACACGTACCACAGCGCCACGACCATCTTCCTAGTACCGGGGCAGCTCGGTGCAGCACAACTGGTTGGAGTCCACTCACCCTCCCGCCGAAGGGAAGGGGGTTAGTGGTTGACTTACAGTAGGTAGCTGCTGACAGTGGGGGGCACTGAGAGAAGGGAGGAGGGAAGGTGGGGGAGGAGAGAGGAAGAATGATGGAGCAGCCATTAATGACTAACATCTGGGCAAAGCCCAGATCTTGGCCCCTCCCTCAGTCCCGCCCCCAGATGGAAACCTTCCCCCATTTTTCCTCCTTTCCCCTCTTTACACAGCAATTCTACCCTGGAAGGTGAAACCTGTAAGAGACCACCTTGGTTAGGATTCCAGATTCCCTTTCGTTCCTTTCTCTTGGTCTGTGCTTTCCTGCCAGCTGCCTCTCTAGTATCAATTTGTTGTCCCAATTAACCCCTCTGTGGGTACCAATAGCCATGTGTGTCTTGATACACCTGTGAGCAGGTGTCCAAGGACATGTGTGTGGATGCAGATCTGCATGTGGGGAGTATTTATGTGGTTATGTGTGTGCATTCACAAGCATATGTTGTTTGTTTGTGTCTGAAGGAATCCATGTGTAGCTACTAGCTTTTCGTGTGTCTGAAAGTACTTGTAGACAATGAATCCCTATGACTCCTACCTAGCTCACACACGTGTATAAAGAACTTTGCTTGTAATTTTATTGTTATCTTTCCAAGAGCTGAATGAACTGGGCAGTGGTGGCACATGCCTTTAATCCCAGCCCTCAGGAGACAAAGGCAGGTGGAGTTCAAGGCCAGCCTAGTCTACAAAGCAAGTTCCAGGACAGCCAGGGTTCTTACACGGAGAAACTCTGTCTTGAAAAACCAAACAATCAACCAACAAACCAAACAGACAAAGTAATAATAAAGTCAAGTCCTCATGGTGAAAAATATTGCGAAGAATGATGTGTATACATTATCCTATTTATGCCATTTCATACAAAACAAAAGAAGAGCTGACCGCTGAGAGCTGTTTGTGCCTACAAGCTGGAAGCTTGGGGAACAGGATAGGAAAAGTGGAAATGGGCCCAAGATAGCTGTATTTCATAGAACAGACTCAAGAAAAGGAAGCGAGGATGAGGGATGAAGCCTGGAGAAAGAGAAGAAAGCACTCCCTTGTTTCTCTTCAGCCCCCAGAGGTCAATAGTGGGAATTATGGCCTCCCTACTGCTACATGTTCTAGGCCAGGGTCAAGGCAGGGCCATAAAAAGCTTTGGGATATTTCCAAAACAGTGTTTCTAAGATCTCTCATGTCTGGTAGTCTCAGCACCTGGTTCTTTTGTTTTTTTTTTTAATCTTCAGAGTTCAACTGCTAGATGCATCCACTTCAAGAGAAAGTTATTCCAAGTGTGTTTCCATGGACACAGTGGGGCCCAGAGACTGGAGTTCCAAGAAAAGGATCAGGAGAGGAAACAGATGACTAAGAAAACAGGCCACTTGGACTGACATAATAGAGGCAAGGGTGTTGAACAAATGAGCATGCAGTGCTGGGTGACTGAGCTAGAGGCCCTGAACTCCAATCTGGATGCTCTCAACAAATCCATCTAACCGGAATCTTATCAAAGTAGAGCGCCTCATTAGAACACTCAAATGTAAAAAGCCAGTAAGGAGGACTTACAAGATGGTTCTGTGAGTAAATATGCTTGTCAGATAAAGCCTGATGATATGAGTTTGACTCCTGCAACACAGAGAATGGAAGGAGAGAATTGATTCCCATAAATTGTTCTCTGATTTTCAAGTAAGTATCATGGCATAAACACACATAAATCAATAAATATAAAAGAAAAATTAGAATACCCAAAAGATAGGCCAAGAGTCCTGGAATGCCATGTTAAGGCATCTGAACTCCATTAGGATAGCTAGGAGTCACAAATCGATTTCACACAAGGGAGTGATCTGAGAGCAGCAGTCAGCTTGTAGCTTTGCCCTTCAAAGCTGGTGAAGGTGGCAGAGCACCAGGGTGGGTCAATAGGGCTGGTCTGGAGGCCAAGAGAACGACTTAAACACTGGGAAGTGGAAAATAGTCCAAACCTGCAAGAGCTGAGCTGAGCTGGGGCCCAGAATGGAAGAGAACAGTGGTTTTGTTTTACCAACACCTCCCCCAACAAAGCCAGTGCTAGCAGGGCCAGGCAGCCCCAGGCAGCCTTATTCTTGACTTTAAGGCTTGTAGGAAGCAGTAGGAGACTCAGATCAGAGAGCAAGGGATCAAACAACAGCCTTGGGAACTATAAGCCTTGGTCTGAGGTGGAGGGGCTTGAGGACTGGAGCAAGGGAAGCTCAAAGAAGGACTGTCTGTCTAGGAGGATGCTTTGATGCTCTGTGTATTAAACTGGTGATTTCTATCAAGCTACTTCCTCATTTTTCTTCCAAATCTTCAATCCCAAAATGGGGTTTGGTATACATGCAAAGTGAGGAGCAGGGGCTGGGAATATGGAGTTGCCCTTGCATGTCCCCCATCCTAGATTCATCCTAATACCCACACATTCAATTTATTTTTATGTCTTCTAGCATTTGTCATCTCTCTTGCCACTACGCTGGGTACTCAGAGACAGGCAGAAAGGAGCCAGAACACTAAGAAGCCTTTGACAGATGGGAAGGGGCTCTCCTGTCTCCCTTCCTATTGCTGCTGTGTCTCTGATCTCTCATCATTCCTCAGGCAATTATAGAGAGAGCTAAGGTTGTTAGCTCAGCAGGCCCTGACACCCCCATCAACACGATGGAGGGCAAAGGGGATGGTAAGTGTTCCACAGATGGAGCCAAGGCCCAGCCTGCCAAGGGTGACAGACAAAGTGAGAAAGAGGCAGGAGGGAGCAGGAGAGTCTGAGAAGCAGGGTTAGGGGGATGGTAACAGATGACAAAGACAGCTGTTAGAAGACTAGATAGCCAAGAGATAAACAAGCTGGAGAAATATGGAAACAGAGACCTGGGGACAGGGGAAAAAAAGAGGTAAAAGGAATACAAAGGGTGACAGACAGGTGCAAAAATAACTGCTGAGAAATGGCAGAGAGACAAGAGGGATAGGTGTGTACACCTGTGTGCAGGCCACAGCTGCCTCCTTCTGCAGTGGTCCCAGTCTCTGAGGGAAGATGGTGCCAGGCAAGGGGCAGGGAAGGAGGGACAATGAGTCTGGGTCAGTGGAGCGGGGGGCTTCTGTGCTTGGAGGTCAAGCTGAGTGTAGGAGCAGGCCTGAGAGAGTAGAGATACTGAGTACTGAGGCCAGAGAGACAGCAAAGCACCACAGTGACAGTGGAAAGCCCCTGCCCACTTGTGGCACTGGGGCAGGACAGTCATAAGACAAGATAAATGATTCCCTGTTGGCTAATGCACATGTGCCAGAGAACAGGTGGAGAAGGGCTATGAGGGAGAGAAACCCCCAAGAGCTCAGTGGATCCTTCTAAGATTGCCGCTGAGCACATGCCAGTGCAGAATAGGCAGCTGCCTGGCTGGGGAAGGTGCACACAAAAATCATAGGCACAACAGTGTGTGTGTGTGTGTGTGTGTGTGTGTGTGTGTGTGTGTACCAATCATGTATATCTATCACCATGTACACCTCTCACCGTGTTGTGGAGTGTAAGACAAAGGTGAGTATGCACCCATCATTCTAACTACCTTGAAGCAAATCTCATATGAGCAAGGAGGAGAAAGGGTGCAGCAATCATTGGGAGGGACAAGTCCAGGAGGTGAAGATCAAGATCACAGGCGCACAAGGCAGGGCTCAGAAACAGCTCCCGAGAAGCCTCACCTCTGCCCTTACCTTAGCTGCTCTGTGCCCTGAGTCCTGTGGGGAGCCCACTTGTCTACACCACTGCATGGTTGGCCAAGCCAGTTGACAGGGGGAGGCCTGTGAGGTCATATAACCTGACTGAATCCTGAGCATACACCCATACACACACTCAGCCACACACACACACACACACACACACACACACACACACACACACACTCCAAGGATGCTATGCAAATGCACTTTAAGCACACGCCTAACCACTCTTGGACTGCCATTGCCAGTCTTTCCCAAAGGAGAAGAAACAAAAGGGTCTTTCAAAGGTGGAGCAAATAACATCTAAGCCTCTTACTCTGTTTCTAGAGGAATGGGATCAGGCCAGAATGGGAGCCAACCTGGGGACTCAGTGTTCTCGGTACTATGTCAGAGTCAGAATGGGTGGCAAGTCTGTCCCTCAGGCCTGGGAGAAGTAGGAGAGTTTTGGTAACTCATCAATATGGACATGAAGGTATAGGTGTCACCTAAACCCTATGCACTATGCCACTTTAAGCACCCCCACCCCGTAGGCTTTGGCTGTGGGTTTCTATGGTGATGGAGTCTGACAGCAAAAGTGGGGGAAGTCTTCTTGTAACCTTCTGGGTTATTTAGATAATCAGAGTACATAAAGACTTGAGGGAGCCTGCATGGGTACCTGGAAGCCCAAAAGTCTTAGACTCCATCCTACATCTTCCCTAAGGGGGACTGGAAAGAGTATACCCCATCCAGCCAGTCTTTCTTATCCCAGCCCCCTCATCCTACCTGAGGCGCCTGTCTCCAAGGCAACTAAGGCTCACCTGTTAAGGACCATTCTCCTTAAATGATGGGAAGGGAGCAGATGGAGGTTAACCCTTTGTGAGGAAGGGAGAGATGATCCTCATCATTGGCTGGTCCCACCCTACACTCCCTCAACCATGATGTATATCAGCTCCATTTTTTTTTTTTTTTTAGTTTTTTCGAGACAGGGTTTCTCTGTGGTTTTGGAGCCTGTCCTGGAACTAGCTCTTGTAGGCCAGGTTGGTCTCGAACTCACAGAGATCCGCCTGCCTCTGCCTCCCAAGTGCTGGGATTAAAGGCGTGCACCACCACCGCCCGGCGGTCAGCTCCATTTTCTTAAGTAAACTCATAACACTTACCACCTACCAGGGACTCTTCTAAGCACTTTCCCACAGATTCATTTCATTAGCTCCATTTGACATGCGACAAAACTGAGACCCAAAGATGAACTGTGTGCAGAGTTGCCATAGGTACTCAGAAAGGGTGGAGTTTGAAACAGTGTAGAGGCTCCTGAAGCTGTCAAAAGCTCCTCTATCATCCTAATTTGTTCCTGTCTGAATCCTCAAGAACCAGAGAGAGGCCTGGTCAAGTATAGCCTCCAAGCCATTCTGTCTCACAGGGAAGAGCCTATTTGCTAGGCAAATGTAGGAGATGAGGAAGTGCCATGTAAGCAACAGCATGCCTTCAGGGAGCAGGCCTAACCCCCAAACAATCTATCTGCCCCTCCACTTGGCTTCCTCTTAGCCTGAAGTCCCATGGATTTCCTTGTCCTCTTTCTAATAGCTGGAATCTCAGCTTGCTGTTACCTGCCTTGCAACCAAAGGCTCACAAAAGGTCCCTCTCTCCAGCTAGAGCTCAGGAACAGCAATGGCTCTGTTTCTGTATGGGTGATAGAGACCAAAATCCAGCCTTCCGAAGTGCTGGAGGCAGAGCTATGAAGTAGCAGGGGGTATCAGGGTTCTCCTGGCCCTGGGTTTCATGGGTCAGATAGGATGAGACTCACTGAGGGGCTTCAGGGGCCAGGTCAGAGACTATATGGATCCACTGCTTGGTTGAGGGGCCACCAAACAAGTAGGCAATCCATCTGAGTAAAATGTGGTGAATGGAGCAGCAGCTACTTGTCTCCGGTTCCAGAATGACTCCTGGAAATGTCTCAGACACTGCCAGGCCCCAGCAGACCCTTGGGGCTTCTATTCCCAAAGGGTTAAAGGGAAGAAGAGGCACAGGAAGCCTAGGAGTGGACAATGGTGCTTCTGTCCTCCCTGTGGCCTGAGCATTCCTCAGGCATGAACGAAGCCATCTGGGGAGGGGCCCAAGGGAATAGCCCCTTCTACTGAGACCAAAGCCTGGCCGGATCAAAGGCTTTGCCCCCAACAAGAACCAGTGCTGCATCTGCCAGCCACCACCCCATCCCACTCTCCCAATGTAGATCTTGTTAGGGACACAAGAGAATGTGTATGTGTGCACACTGTCTCTCAAGAACATGCATAGAAATATACAAATGTTCACAGACAGCCAAATAGGAGTCCCATGCAGGCAAACAAGACTAATGGAAGTTACACAAATACACACATGTGGCCAGATACATGAGCCTCACACACGCAAATAAAAAGACTAGAACATGTACACACAGGCCCAAAGCTTCCCAGCAACCGAACTCCTCCATGCAAACCTCCAGACTAGGGCTACCTTTCCCCCATCCCGTTTTTGCCTGGCACTGTATGCTTTAGACTGGATTTCTGAGGAATGAGGGCACTCCTAAAGAGACAGCCCTCATCCTTCAAGCCTCATTTTCAGACCAAAACTGAGACTGACAGGCTCCAAAGTTCCTTATGCACAAGTGCATATTCTGTTACCTTCCTGCCCCACCCAATCCCTGCCCCTGCTGGGTTTAGGAGCCAGGGACTAGCACAAACTGCTGAATGCACACCAAATGGCCTTACAGCTTTTCAATCTGGAAAAGCTGAGGCAAGCTTCTGGGGTCTTGGGTGGGGGATAGTGGACAAAGAAAAGCTTCCAGAAAGGCCAGCAGAGCAGATCCTTCCCTTGGCGAAAGAACTCCCCGCCCTCCTCTGACTCCTCCCTCTCCCTTCAACCACAGCCTTTAGGAAGCCACAAAGACCCTGTTGATACTAGGGAAGAAGGCAGGATGGTAATCAGATGCTTCTCTCTACCCTCCAGGTCAGACAAGGTCATATGGTGGTGTCTAGCCCAATTTATGGGCACGAAGACAATTAAGGTACACTAAGGGTCACCCCTATTACTGGGTCTGGCAACTCAGTGCCAAGCTCACAGTCATCAGGAGCTCCTGAGAGAGAACAACACTTTAGGGGAAGTAGGGAGTGAAGCAAAGAAATACCAGATCAACAAAATGGCAATCGGATAGAGCAAGGAGAACCAACTGGAAAGGGAAGTGGGCAGGCAAAGGCAGGGAGGAAAACAGAGGAGAGGAGGGAAGGATAGGGCTGCATCTCCCCCCCCCATTGGCAAATGAGAAAGAATCTAATGAGAGGATGACAGGGTGACAGCAAGGAGCTTGGGAGAGCAGAAGAGATGACCAGATTAGAACAAATGGCAAGGGAAAGGTTATAGGGTCTAATGGGTGGGGCCACTGAGGGTCCATTCTAGTTGGCCCCATACAGGGACCCAAGCCCTGCCTTCCCCATTATGGGAGCAGGTGACAGGGCAAAGATGCTTCCAGTTGGGACACTAGTCCTGGAATTCAGTCCCATTCCCAGTGCCTGAACTACAGGGTACTCCCTCACACCTTGTCCACAAAGGGAGGCCTGGCAGATCTCTGAATGGGGCCTCAGTTCTACTCTATAACCTGAACACATGTGGTCTTGGAGCTACTGGCAGTGATCATTGGGCTAGGTCATTCTGAAAGGTCATGTCACCCTCTCAGACCTGAGGAGCACCTAGTTGTTGCAATTTTGGGTGGTACTAGGGACTATTTGCTTTGAAAGAGACCTTGAATATATCAGTGACCCACCACTGCTGAAGATAAAGTTTGGTGTCACGGCACAAGAAGGCTGAGGCAGGAGCATTACTGTGAGCTTGAGATCAGCCTTAGCTACATATTGAGTACTAGATCAGTAAGAGTTACAGAGTGAAACCTTGTCTCAAAAAAAAAAGAAAGAAAGAAAGTTGAGAGGCAGAGGCAGGCGGATCTCTGAGTTCGAAGCCAGCCTGGGCTACAGAGAGTTCCAGGACAGCCAGGGCTACACAGAGAAACCCTCTCTCAAAAAAACAAACCAAACCAAACAAAAAACCCCAAAATGCAAATAAAAATTGGAAAGAATGGAAGCGATGGGGGCTGAAGCTCAAAATAGGTAAGGGCCTGATTGTCTCAAGTAATTGATCTGGGTAACAGCCAATATAGCACACCTATCTGTCCCCTTCACCCTTCCTAGCCTATCACGGCCAAGTGCTTCCCATGGAAAGTGCCTATTCCTCAGCAACAGAAAGAGTACAGACTTGGGGGAGGCCAAATGGAGAGCATAGCAGGGCTCCCTTGTCTGCTGGCCTTACTTCACATTGTCTTCCATTTCCCCTTCAAATTATCGTGGAACAAAAAGAAAAAAAGTAAATTTATATTTCATAGGGACAAGGATGGTATTGGTGACTGGTTACTTTCATGTGCAGTCTAGTCCAAGCAGACACTCAGCAGTGTGAACCTGTCTAGCAAATGGCTACCTGCCCTTTGTCGCTAAGTTCCTAGGCAGTCATTCTGTGAATAAACCCCATGCCTGGCTACCTTGTGCCATGGTATTCTGCAGAAAACTAGGGGCTGGGCACTGGGGGGGGGGGAGCCTCTTGGGAGTACGTGGTAGCAATCCAGGAAGGCTGTGCTGTGTTGAATACTGAACGTGTTTCCCTCTCCCTAGTAATCAGATCACCAGCAATTCCTAATTTCTTTTGTTCTCCTGTGTCTATTTCAAATGTATTTCAATACGTTTTCCTTTGTATTTAAAATGTACTGTAACAAGATGTATTGGTTTGGGGATTGTATACACAAACAAATAGAGAACGGGGGGTATTGGAATAGGACAAGGAAGCAGAAAAGTGGGGAGTTCCCAGTTGCAGCCCTAGTACCAACTCACCATGTGGCCACAGACACTTGAGAGTGACTGAAGGCTTGGTGCCTGACAGTAAGCATGTATACAGTGCTACATAGATGTTGAGCCAGATGAGAGGCTAGGTTTTGCAAGTCCCACCACCTGGCAGCAAGGAGCCCATCAGAGGTGAGAGGCCCTGGGCAGGCCCCACCCTAGCCACCCTACTAAAAGACTGTAAATTAGGGAAGAAAGCCTGTTGGATCTTATTCACCATAAGGGCCATGTGAGTCAGCAGAGATAACATTGGGCTGCCAGCAAACCCTACTACTGGATCAAGTCATCTTGAGTCAGGCCCCAAGACAGATAGTGGTCCTGCCTCCTTGAGACAGGCAGTGATGGGTAGAGGTTCTACACAGTAGGTCAGGGACAGTGGGTTATACCTGCTGTTCTTTACAATACTTGTAAATCAATGAAACTCTGAACCAGGCAGAAGGGAATAAATAGGGTATGGAAAGCTCTCCCCTCCGATAATTAAACAGAGACTGTAAGATATAGCAATGGCCAAAATTGCTGCAGTCTCTACAGAAAAGGGTCCCAGGTACCTTGCTTCTAGAAGTCCCTGGTCCTGAGCCAATGAGGCCCTTTTTCCCTATTCCTACCTGATGGACCCATGGTCAACACCCATATGTACCCAGAGGCACATCTCTCCTCTCCTAGCCTGTATTGGCCAAAGAACCTAAGGGAAGAGGTTCCCTGCTGCACCTGAGAGGAGACTGGCTTTGCATATCATTTGAGGGGGTTCCCAACAGGAATTTGGAAAGGAGGAGGTGAAGAACAAAGCCCCCTCCCCACCTTGGGGCAGAGGAGCAGGCAGCGCCCAGCCCTCCTCTTCCCTCTCTTTCCCCCACTGCCAGGAGCTTTGCTCAGTGTCTCTCATACCCTGCTAGACACTGGGTTATTCCAGCACACAGGACCTTAAATGGGGGGGGTATGAGGAGCAGCCACGCCCAGAGCCACACCCCACGACGGTCGACTATGTTAGAGGGACATTTTGCTGGGTTCACATTGCTTTCCTCACACACGCACACACCCATAGGGATATGCCAACTTCAGCCCCACCTGCCCATACAGAACCTGTCTGACCACCCTTGTGCCCCTCCCTAAGCCTGCTTTTGAGGTGCCGCCCAGTTACTCCTCACCTGTCGGGCTCTGGCACCTAGCCACTTTGCCCTATCCCACTCCAGACTTCAGTGCCCAGAGCCCGGTGCCTAGTATGGGTGGGGCTCCAGCCTCCCTGTCCTCTACCGAGGCCAGTACAAAACCCGCTTGTACCTCTGCCAGAGGCAGGGTTATATCTGGAACGTAGAATGGTCGCTGCTTCGGCCAAGGGGACAAACCAGCCCGCCTTACCTGCGCCGCTCGGGTTGCCAGCCTAGCCCCTACGCACGCCGGCCTTGGACTCGACACCCAGCGCCTCCGTGATTCCGCTGCCGACGCGGATGCTGCTGCTGCTGCTGCTGCTGCTGCTGCTGCTGCTGCTGCGGAGGCAGCGGCGGGCGGGGCGGCGTGCGTGGAAGGGAGGGGAGGGGAAGAGGAGCGCGTGGGGGGGGGGGGAGAAAGGAGGGGGAGTGAGATCACCTCCCCCGCAGCAGGCCAGCAGGCCCCGCCTCGCCACACCCTCGCTCCTTGTTTCATTGGAACCCAGCCGCAGAGCCCTGGGCGTGATTGGGACCCCCTCAGGATCTTTATCCAGGAGCTCCGTAATCCTGAACCCCAGAGACCAAAGTGACCCCAACCTCACCATCGGGGATCCCCGCCGCCCTGGAGCCTTGGACTGGGAATCGTTGGCAGGAATATTCTTGGGATCCCTGGGCTGGGCAATGGGGAGAGGATCCAGGCTGTGAACCAGATTGCCCCGCCTCCACTTAGCCATGGAGGATGCTGGCCAGTGATGGGAACTCGTACACAATTAGGTGTCAGGCGTTTGAACGTCTCCACGCCCTTAGTGCAGTGCAGAAACCCATAACCTCGGGCAGTTCTTCAAACCCCTGCTCAGCCAGGACTCGAGGCCAGGATCTTTCAAGGATGTGCGCGTGAACCTGAGTCCCCAGCCTGTGAAGGAGATGTGGCGGGGCATGTTCCCGCACAGCCACAGTCCCTACCTACCAAACGTCGGGCCCCAGCGTAGCCCAGAAGAAAAAGGTCGCAGAGAGGGCGTTCTTAGACCTGCAACCCCCTACTCCCACTTCCAGCATGCTTAGTGCCTAATTTCTTTGTCCTCAGGATTGGCCTCTTCGTGACCTTTCCTGCCCTCTCTACTTCCACTTATAGTTCTTTGAGGAAAAAAGCTTCTGGAAAGATGGAGCTCTTCCCAGTGGCGCCCCCTCCCAGGCTCATGGCTGTGACCTCCCAAGCGAGGCAAAGTGGAGGGGGCTGGAATTCCAAACTAAGTCCAGCTAGCTGAAGCCTGGGGGCAAGGAAGGCCTAGGGCCCAGATGGCAGATTGCAGCCCTGGTAGCTACGGTATTTTTATAGGCATGCCTGTTACTCAGTGAAGCATTCCATAGGCCCTCTGCTCAGCCTGCTAACACTCCCCTAGTGGTGCAGTGCCCTGTTCCCATGAAATCACTTTGGGCACTTGGCCTGGTCTCCCTCCCCCATAGGACCACCTCCCCGCCACCTTCTTTTCTCATGAAAGAAAAAAAAAAACTTGGGGGCGCCCCACCAGCCCTCTGTGAAGGTCTGGATGCCGAGTTCGATGGAGTCTTAAGGAAGAGGCATTTGAGTGAAGACAGAGGCCTGAGCAGAGAGCTCAGAGGGTGCCGACGCTTCTACCACTTGGTGCAGAAGGATTCAGAATGAAGCTCAAAAAGTACTCAAGAAGCACCACTAGTTCAAGACTTCAGGAAACAGCAGAAGAGACTGCTGCACCTGCCTGGGTCATGAAGCCAGAGGCCTTTTGGGTTGGGCAGAGAAGGGTATTTTCCATGAGGCACTGAGCTGAGAACAGCTTCCTAACTGCAGTGATGTAAGGGCGATAGGCCACAAAATTGGCCTCTCCTCTTCAGCTGCTTCCTCTACTGCCCTACTCCCAGTTTGCATCCAAGCCTGAGCTCGACCTAATTTAGGGTTGATGTTGTCCTGGAACTCACTCTATAGCCTGGGTTCATTTTAAACCTACATCCCCCTGCCTCTGCCTGCTGGGACTACAGGTGGTGGTTCACCACACCCAATGCTGTATACAAAGTTAGACACAGGTTTTATTTCATCTCCCAAAAAAATCTTTGTCATTTAAAAATCAGCACTTGGGAGGCAGAGGCAGGCAGGACAGCATGGTTTACAAAGCAAGTTCCTAATGGGTCAAGTCTATATAGTGAGAGCCTGTCTAAAAAAAATTAATCAGGGAGGTGAAACAGGAGGGCCTTATGTTTGACACCAAATTGGGCTATTTAGTGAGTTTGAGGACAGCCTGGGATGTATTGCAAGAACCTGCTTCAAAAAACAAAAGTAAAATGAAATAAAAATCAACTTTAGGGATAGGGCTGTGACTCAGTGGGAGAGTGATTGCTTAACATGCATGAGGCCCTCAGTTTTTTTCTCAGTTCTTCCATAAAACAGAAAGGAAAAATCCCCTCAAAAATCAGTTGAAATACAACTTACAAAAAAGTTGACTCTTTTGAGGTATATACTTTCAGGAAGGTTTTTGACTATTTGATTTTTCTTTTGTGTTTTGATTCTGTTTTGTTTTGTTTTTTGAGACAGGGTTCCTCTGTGTAACAGTCTTAGTTGTCCTCAAACTCACAGATACCTGTCTACCTCTGCCTCCCGAGTGCTGGGTTTAAAGCCATGTGCCACCGCAACTGGCTTTTTTTTTGAAGGGGGGGGAGTGATTTTTATTTGTTTGTTTTCTGAGTTTTTTGTTTTAATTTAACCTTTAATCCAACACTCAGGAATTCAAGGTATATAAAACAATTGGTGCCAGCCTGGCCTACATGAGAACCTGAGTTCAGTTTCCAGCATCCATATCAGGCGGCTCACAACTGTGTGGAACATCAGCTCAAGGAAATCAGATAATTTCTTCTGATCTCTGCTGACATCTGCACTGATATCACACACACACATGCATGCACACACACGTGTACACACACAGAGGTAATTAAATTTTAAATAAAATCTTTAAATAAATAAGTAAAGAGGCAAGAATGAAGACAGAGAACAGACCCAAGTACACCCTCTTGGTCATCTTGGATTAAATTTCTTTCTTTTTTTAATATTTATTTATTATGTATACAACATTCTGTCTGTGTGTATGCTCGCAGGCCAGAAGAGGGCACCATACCCAATTATAGATGGTTGTGAGCCACCATGTAGTTGCTGGGAATTGAACTCAGGACCTTTGGAAGAGCAGGCAATGCTCTTAACCTCTGAGCCATCTCTCCAGCCCCTGGATTAAATTTCTTATCTCCTTGCTTTTAAGCACTGTATGAATTTTTTAGTAGTTATTGAAGTTACTGCCATGCACTCTTATTATTTGTTTGTTTGTTTATGATTTTTCAAGATACAGTTTCTCTGTGTAACATCTTTGGCTGTCTTGGAGCTTGCCTTGTAGACCAGGTCGGCCTTGAACTCACAGGGATCTGGTTGCCTCTGCCTCCTGAGTGCTGGGATTAAAGGTGAGTGCCACCACACCAAGCAAATTGGATTTTTCTTAAAATTTATTATTATTATTATCTTATTTATTATTATTATTTTGGATTTTTTTGAGACAGAGCTTCTCTGTATAGTCTTGGCTGTCCTGGAACTCACTTCATAGACCATGCTGACCTCAAAGTCATAGAGATCTGTCTGCCTCTGCCTCTCAAGTGCTGAAATTATAGGTGTGCTATAAACAGATTTTTCTTTGGGCTGCCAGCTCACAAAAATAACATTGAAACTGATTATTAATTATGAAAGCACAGGCTATAGCTTAGGCTTGTCCCATTAGGTCTGATAACTTAAATTAACCCATTTCTAAGCATCTCTGTGCTGTCATGTGACTTATGGTTTCTGCCTCTCCTCTTGCATGTTGGACCCTCTGCATCTGGTTTGTAACTCTGCCTTTCTTCTTTCCAGAGCTCTCTCTGTCCAGAAGTTCCTGCTATTACCTCCTGCCTAGCTATTGGCCATTTAGATTTTTATTAAATCAATCACAGTGACAAATCTTCACACAGTGTAAAGGAATATTCCAAAACAGTGTGCACCACCAACACCCAGCTATTTTATTATTTTTAGTTATGTGCTGACCTTGAACTCACAGATATCTGTCTGCCTCTGCTTCCCAACTGCTAGCTAACATTAGAGGTGTCGCCACCAACACCCAGCTTGTAACATACATTATGGGCTATTTGTACACTGTGTGAAGATATATTACTGTGATTGGTTTAATAAAGAGCTGAACAGCCAACAACTAGACAGGAGATATGGGTGGGACTTCCAGGCAGATAGAGACAGGAAGTAGGAGATAAATCTAGGTGTGAGAGATGCCAGGAGACACAGAAGAAGTTAGACAAACAGAATGGGAGAGAAGTAAAAGCCATGTGGTAGAACATAGATTAATAAAAAATATAGTGGGTTAATTTAATTTATAAATGCTACAAAGCTTAAGCTAAGACTGAGATTTTAAATTAATAACAATAACTCTTTGTGTCATTATTTGGGAGCTGGCTGGAGGAACAGAGAAAAACTTGTTACAAACATGCATTGTTTTTTGATTTTTTAAAAATTTTATTTTGTCTGCATGTATGTCTGTATGAGGGTGTCAGGGTCTTGGAGTACAGACAGTTGTGAGCTGCCATGTGGGTACTGGGGGTTGAACCTGGGTCCTCTGGAAGCGCAGCCAGTGCCCTTAACTGCTGAGCCATCTCTCCAGTCTGTAACATGCATTCTTAACAAAGTGTAAAGTTAAATATGTCAGCTCTGCGGGTTATAATGTAGGTCTACAAATCCCCTGATACTCCTCTCACAGGGTGGCACCTCAAGTGTGGCAGCATGTGCCAGCAATACCAGCGTTCTGGTGGCTGGGATAGGTAAATCGCAAATTTGAGGCCAGCCTAGGCTGCATGAGGAGAACCTGTCTGGAAAAACAAAGGAAGTGTGATGTAAGAAGTGGTGATGTGCTCTCCTTAGAAGAGGACTTGCCTATTCCACACAAGGCCCCAGGTTAAAGTCCCGGTACTTTATGAACCTGGTAGCGTGGGCGGCATGCCTAGAACCCTAGCACTCAGGCTGTGAAGGCAAGAGGATTAGAATTTGTAGAATGAACCTTGGCTACATATTAGATTCAAGACCAACTGGATACATGAGACTCTTTTGTAGGGATAAGTCCCGCCCCTTAGGGGGCGTGTTCGCCTCGGGCTAATGTCTGCCTATAAATTTGGCGAGCAAGCTCCGAGCGCTTGCTTCTGCTTTCCTGGTCTCCGCGGGAACGGTGGTTCTGTAAGTCTATTTCTACATTAAAGCTATATATATATTTTTACACTCTGTCTGCATTCATTTACGCCGTTACATTTTGGCGCCCAACGTGGGGCTATTTTGCCCCCGACTCAAGCGGGTAGCCCGCTAGCTAACACAGCACCCTCCCCAGTGCTGTTTTTCAGTTCGTGACTCCGGCCCCAGTGCCGAGTCCGAGACACACTCGGCGACACAGGCCCATTCTGCCTGCCTTGGCTAAGTTTTGCAGCGGAACCCCACTGCCTGAATTAGCAGAAGCTCAAGTACTTGCGGTTTTGCAACAAAAGCTGCCACAGCGTCAGATTTGGTCTGTTACAAAGTGACTTGGCCGGTTGTGGTGGCCCACGCCGGTAGGATTTGCTGAAGGAGGCAGAGGCAGGAGGATCACAAGTTTGAGGCCGGCCAGGCAGTGGTAGAGCACGCCTTTAATCCCAGCACTTGGGAAGCAGAGGCAGGCAGATCTCTGTGAGTTTGAGGCCTGCCTGGCCTTGGTAGTGCACGCCTTCAATCCCAGCACTTGGGAGGCAGAGACAGGCAGATCTCTGTGAGTTCAAGGCCAGCCTGGTCTACAAGAGCTAGTTCTAGGACAGGCTCCAAAAACACAGAGACCACCACTGGCAGGAACTGATCTTTGCAGGTAAAAAAAAAATTTTCTTTTATAAATAAAATGTCTGAACACATTACTGTTCAAGAATTTAATGATTTTTTTAATT